GCAAACAAAAGTGTTTTTATTGCAGTTTGGCGAAATACACTAATGTCGATGCAAATCACTTCATCCAGGTGAAAAGAATGCACAATTATATGGTCAATGGAAACCCAACCTCTAGTTTCTTTGTAATTAAAGGCAAGTTTTACCAAAACGTTTTTTAACAAATTAACACAAGTTTGTATTTCCAGTTCTTATCCCGATTTCAGTCCAACCTTTTTTCATTTTGACATTTTTGTTTACAGGATAGGAAACAGAAATTGTATAATAAACAAAACCAGTGCTTAAAACCTCACATCTGACTGTAATGCAAACATTTTAATAGTTTATTATCAGGTCTGAAATGAAAAAAAAAAAATTGTTTCTGTATCAACACTCAGTGATTTCATGTTTCATCCTTCTACTTCATAAAACATTTAATCAGAATATTTTTGGTAAATAAAGAGTTTTAATCGAAGACTGTTGTACATTTAGATAAAATTAACATTTTATTGAGCCACCTGAGTGCAGTTTGTACCCAAAAACTGTAGTGTTTGTGACTGAACTGTACCACTGCGCTGTTAGCTGAGATCAGTCCAGTTGTGCCGCTACCGAGGAGGAGGAGGAGGAAGAGGAGGAGGAAGGTGGCTCCTTTAATAGTAGGATGCCAGCTGAATGACAGGGTCCTGATAAGTAGCAGCTAGAGAGTTGGTGAGGCGTTTCTGATGGTGGTAATTATGAACACTGAACCCCAAGAGTGTGTGTGTGTGTGTGTGTGTGTGTGTGTGTGGTGTGTGTGGGGGGGGGGGTGTGGGTGTGTGTGTGTGTGTGTGTGTGTGGACATCACACTGTAACATTTGAGCCGCATTTAGTTGTGTGTACTATTTTCTTCTCTTTAAGTCAAATAAATTTATCCAGTTTTAGATTTTGTACCAAAATGTTTTTGAGTTTGTTAAAGATAAACTTACGGCAGTAAGTTGTGTTAACATTTTACTAATTGTTGAATAAACAAGAGTTTTTAGGTTTGCACTTAAACAAACAGAAAGAAGGAAAAGACAGGAGTGGAAACTATTTCCCAGAATGCTTAGCGGCCTGTTTTTATATCCTGAGATGGAAGTGTGGTCCATCGATGTGTGTTAATAAGGAAAGTGTTTATTTTAATGAAGTGCTAAGCTGAAGATAATGTCCTGTTCACACTAAATGTTTTTCAGCAGAATTCATTGCGATGTTGAATAAAATTCTGAGTTTGTTTATGCAAGAATTCAAATCATTCTAAAGTAAAATAATTATTTAACTTGATATTGTGAGTGAAATAATAGAAAAATGTGGCTCTTTAACCAGGTGAGGACAGTTTTTTTTTTTCATTTATATTGTGAAATAATTATTTGGTTTAAATTGCAGCATTAAGTTAAAACCAAAACAATTTTCTTGTTGACTTTAGTTGCACTAAAGGCAGCAGGTGGACTTTTAATTTTCCATCACAGGTCTTCTAGTAAGTGAGACTTTAAGTGAAGTATTGAAATATATCCCGTCTTTCGTTGTGTTTTTCTGCGTTTCAGGTGAATGCGTGGAGGGTTTGTCGGAGGACGACGTGGTGCTGCTGCACTCCTGCCGTCAGTGGACCACTGTGACGGCCCACAGCTTGGAGGAGGGACACTACGTCATCGGGCCCAAGATCGACATCCCACTGCAGTACCAGGGTCAGCATGGACACTTAAACACACACAGTTCACAGCTGCAGCTTGGTTTCTCACAACCATGGAGCCCATAGACAAAAGAGTTACCAACATTTATCCACGGTCTAAAAATAGCCATTGTTTATAAAATGTCCCATTCTCTCTGGGGGTAAAAATAAGTACTCGTTTTATTTTCTGTAAAGGTCAACATATTCCACTTGTTCTATTTCTAGAGGGTTCTGTTTGTTCCTTTCAAAGCAGGCTGGATAATGTCAAAGCAAAGGAAGCTAATGCTGTGTTTTTGTGTTGAAATCTGGTTTTAATTTGCTGCTTATTCAGTACCGAGAAAAATCTGGTCCTGAAAAGCAGGACTGGTCGCTGTTCTCTTAAATGATGCTGCAGACACTAAGAGTTAAAAATAGCCTAAAGTTCAGTGTTCATTGTCTGGATTAAGTTTGGTTAAATTTATCCTAATGTTAGCTTAAATCAACTTGAGATCATTTAAGTTCATTTTTAAAAAGAAATCTTCATATTAAGATCAATGTAAGTTAGGTTAACCTCAGGTTTATTTAAAAGTTAATACTTCAGTTACATAAAAGTTAAAACAGTCTTAGATTAAATTACGCAGGTTAAATTACTTAATTTAGGTTAAAGACTGAGAGTCTGTAGTTTCCATTAAATAACAAATGCTTTCAAATCAAACATGGATGAGTTTGTTCACATGACGTATCATGAAAAAATGTTCCATCATCCTCCTACCACTTCCTGTCATCTTCTTCAGCTTTTCGTCCAGTAGTAAAAGCCGGTTGTTGGTCATGTGACTCGCGTGATGGGGGAAAAAATTTGTTTTTTAATTTTTTTAAATTGCTGTGTTTCTGTTAAGCAAAATAATTCCAATTTGTGCAACTATGTGGTTAATGGAAACACAACTTCTCTTTTTTTTTTTTGCAGCCTGTTGTTGACCTTGGCTGTTGTAAAAGAACTGAGGACTCTGTTGATTATTTTTATAATTAATCAAGTAATCAGAACCCTCTCTCTCTCTTTCATTCTCTATTACATTCTCAAAACGACGTTTCGCCCTTACCACTGTTCGCTTTGAAGCAGTAACCACGCTGTTGCAGGCGGAAAGAAGCTAGAATCAGTCAACTTGAAATGTTCATTACTCCACCCGGGAAGAAAAAAATTAAATAATGAAACATGATTTAATGAAGCTTCGAGGCAGATAAATTTTCCTCGAGGAATTTTAATAATCGAATCATTTGAGGAATCGTTACAGCCCTATTATTGTCGGCAAGTTTACCAAAATGTTTTTTAACCTTTAGATTTAAAATATAAGTACTTATCTAGATTTCAGTTTAATCTTTTTTTTACAAGCTACACCAGCACCCCTCCCAACGCCACTGGGAAAAATGGATGATACTAAAAATTTAAATTGGCAACGTTTAAACTGTTGTTTAAAACGTCACTTTTGACTGTAAAGCAAATATTCCTGCAGCTCCGTTTCATTCTTGCCTCCAACCTGCTACCATGTGATCTCCTGCTCATTGACTTGTGGTCTTCCCGCTGAATGAGTCTAGTCAGGATGACCTCACCGGAGCCCATTCTTCCCTCTCAGTGCAGCCTCATTATTTGCTGTGTAACCGGATCTTAATGCCTCATCTCCATTGCTTCCTCCTCTGATGCAGCGCTGATGTCACCTCACGCTGCTGCCGCCTCGCAGGCTTCGGGAGAAAGGATGAATATTTGTTTAGGAGGAGGGGACGCTGAGATCATCATCATATCAGACCATTCACTCTTTCACAGTAACCCCGTGAATAGAAGGTTCACCTGAAAATCACTTAAATAAGAGCTCAGAATTACACAGTTTTTATTTTATTGCCTGTTGTTGATGTTCAGCAGGCCATTGTTTTCTATTTTAAATGCATCAAAACTACCAAATTAAGTGCATGCAGTTTAATTGTTTACATTTTGACAGTTTATCACCTTATTTACAAAGAAAAAGAAGCTGTAAGCATTTCAGAAAACAGTACAAAACAAAACACTTTATATATTTAGGACTTTTAAGACCTTGAATCCCTACAAATAATGTTAAGCAACTTTCAGCTAACTATATAAATGGAATAAAATAGAATAATAAAGAAAAGAAACAGATAATTCAGGTGCACCAACATAATTAAGAATAAAAAAGTTTTTAGTGATAAAAGAATATATAAGACACATTTAAAAATGATAATAGTAATTTTTGATGATAAAAAAAGAAATAGAGTAAAAAGAAATGTAGTAATAGTATTGGAAATGTATATTTTTCTGATATTATGCATCCCTTATTAAAGATCTCCCATCTTTGTCTGATCTTTAAATGCATCTACCAACTTAGATTCGTTTGTTTAAGTTCATTAAAGATCAGACAGTTTTTAAGGAAATGTGCTTTGATTCGTGAATGAAGAAAATCTCATTTCAATTTCTCATTGACAAGAGATCAAAAGTAATGCTTAAATCTGAAAACTTGCAGCAGTTTTTCTCGCCAATGTGCAAAAAAGAAAATCAGAAAATAAAACTTATAATCAGTGCATCTTTCCTAATATTTATTTGTAAGAAAAGACAGAAAAAAAAATATTGATTAGATAAGAAAAAACAAAAAAACAACTCCGACTTTTACTCTAGCACAAACCTCTTCATTTATTAGCACCGCTGGTAAAGATGTTGAAACTTATTCAAATAAATTAAGCTTTCAGATATTTTTCATTACCTTCAGTTCCTTCTCACTGTGTGCGCCAGGCAAGTATAATACCCGAGACATGCTAACCAGTTTTTTCCTGACATGCTAACCAGTTTTTTCTTGACATGCTAACCAGTTTTTTCCTGACATGCTAACCAGTTTTTTCCTGACATGCTAACCATTTTTTTTCTGACATGCTACCAGTTTTTCCTGACATGCTAATCAGTTTTTTCCTGACATGCTAACCAGTTTTTTCCTTACATGCTAACCAGTTTTTTCCTGACATGCTAACCAGTTTTTTCCTGACATGCTAACCAGTTTTTTCCTGACATGCTAACCAGTTTTTTCCTGACATGCTAACCAGTTTTTTCCTGACATGCTAATCAGTTTTTTCCTGACATGCAAACCAGTTTTTTCCTGACATGCTAACCAGTTTTTTCCTGACATGCTAACCAGTTTTTTCCTGACATGCTAATCAGTTTTTTCCTGACATGCAAACCAGTTTTTTCCTGACATGCTAACCAGTTTTTTCCTGACATGCTAATCAGTTTTTTCCTGACATGCTAACCAGTTTTTTCCTGACATGCTAACCAGTTTTTTCTTGACATGCTAACCAGTTTTTTCCTGACATGCTAACCAGTTTTTTCCTGACATGCTAACCAGTTTTTTCCTGACATGCTAGGATACGTGACGTTGCGGCACTGTCTCCATGGTTACAAAAGAACACAGAAGGTGTCTTACCGACGGTAACCATGGAGACAATGCGCTCCGTCATGTAGCCTAGCATGTAAGGAAATAAACTGGTTAGCATCTTGTCTTTTGTACGTTTTTAATGCTGCTCCGGTCTAAAGGGAAACGCTATTTATGACACAGTGACATAAATCATGTTGTGTGAATTCAGGCACAGTCGGTAATTTGATCAACACGACGGTAGGGAACAATTTCAGTTACTCTCCTCTCCCCCCCCCCTCACTTCCGGCGTCCGTCATGGCGCTTCGAATGATTGAGTGACGTAGTTGTAAAGGGTCAATAAGAAGAAGTTACGTAAACCTACATTTATGATCTCTTCAAGTATAGCAGGTGTTTTGGCACCAGAGGTCAACTGACAGCGATGAGCTAACGTCTGAGGGATGACTTCATACAGGAAGTCTAAATAAGCCTCGGATGAGAGCAACATAGATTTCCCCCGGGGGATTAGAACAGCAGGATGTCTCCCTGTTCATCCCACTGACTGCATCCTCCTTCTGACGAGGAAGATGACATGAGGACGGATTGGAAGAGTTGGACCATAGTAGCTGAATGCCAGGATACATTAAAGAAAACACAATAAATAACCCAAAACAACCTGCAGGGAAATGGCTCCCAATGAACAACTGACAGCAGTTAACAGTCGTAAAATGAAACACAGCCAAAATTCACGACATTAATTATGATAAAAGTTAAGGATATATATACAAAGTTACACAAAAACCTTTACATGTTTATAAAATGTATGTTAAAATATAATACACAGTCACAAACTGTCAATTACTGGTTGCTATGGTAACCACCAACCGTCAACAGCCACCGATGTCAGCAGAAAATGAGCCAAATTAATTTGAATGACAAATAAATCAATGTTGACAAACATTCACAATTACAACATGGTTAAAACAAAATCCTGAGATTCGGCAGTTAATGTTTTTCTATTTATAACAGATGATCCTGTAGAGACGGTGAAAGCGCTCACAAAGTGCTTGAAATTCAACATTTCAGAGCTGACCGATCCCTGAAGGTGGGTTAGTATTAGTGTTGTGTTGTTTGGTGGAGAGAAGCTGCTTTTCCTTGGGGTTCAGCTTGGATTAGGAGGAAGAAGGCGGTGGAGGACGGTAAGGCTTGGCATGCCGTTCTGCCTCCCAGATAGAAAAGAAAAACTCTTTGGTCTCATCTTCACACATGCATCACTTTGTGGGAAAAATGGAGTCTCCTCCAAGGCATGCAGTTGTTTAAATGCAACCCAGGGAGGCGATAAATAAGGATTCTGTTCAGGCTCTTTGAAATCAAACTGATATGTTGGTTGCATTGCATGAATCCACCAAAGACAGTTAGCTAAAATATCAGCCGCGCAAACGCGAATCCGTAAAGGTTACAGTCAGAGAGGATGAGAAAAGAAAAGCGACGGTGGAAGAGAAAGAGTTGTATATGTGACTGTCTCCATGGTGATGTGCCTCTGCTCTGCGTGAAAATGGGGGGCCCTTTATTGGTTGCCATGCCGACACTGTTGGCTGTCAGTTGGTAAAGTCTGGTGCCAGGTCAAAGGTCATTGAGGTGTCTTTGTATTCTCCTTGTATGCGGTAAATGTACACATTTCCACAAAAACAACCTTTTTCTCTTCCTCTCTTTGCCTTTAACTTCCTTTTTGTCTTCCATTGATCTTCCTGTTTTCTTCCTGATGTATTCCTGACTTCTTCCTGATTACTTCCTGTTTTCTTCCTGATTACTTCCTGTTTTCTTCCCATTACTTTCTGTTTTCTTCCTGATTACTTTCTGTTTTCTTCCTGATTACTTCCTGTTTTCTTCCCATTACTTTCTGTTTTCTTCCTGATTACTTCCTGATTACTTCCTGTTTTCTTCCCATTACTTTCTGTTTTCTTCCTGATTACTTTCTGTTTTCTTTCTGATTACTTCCTTCTTTCTTCCCGATTACTTCCTGTTTTCTTCCCGATTACTTCCTGTTTTTCCCAATTACTTCCTGTTTTTCCCAATTACTTTCTGTTTTCTTCCCGATTACTTTCTGTTTTCTTCCCAATTAATTCCTGTTTTCTTCCTGATTTCTGCCTGTTTTCTTTTTTGACTTCTTTCTGTTTTCTTCCCGCCTCGTGTGGATTTTGTTGTTTTGTGACGCTCTACAGGGAAGTTCAAGTTGCTGGATGAGGACCGCGACGTCCGGGATCCGGTCCAGTATTTCTCCAGTGTGGAGGAAGTTGCAGGAGTCTTCCCTGACCGGGTCTTTGTCATGGAGACAATCACTTTCAGCGTCAAGGTGAACAGCGCTCACTTCCTGTTGGGCTCACCTGTAGCACACTTCCTTCTGCGATTCACAGAGTTTAGAGCCGGGTTCCAGCGCAGGCTCGGAATGACTGGAAAACGTTTTGGGATTTGATTTGTGTGATTTTCAAGTTTAATGTAGAAAAAGGAAGAGAGAATATCAATGCTCTTTTTATCGCCTATCCAGGGATGGATTGATGGATGTTTTCAGTACAATTCAGTGTTTTATTTTTTACTTTAAGTGGGTCAAAAATAAACAACAATTTGATTGAAAATGTGTAGAACTCTGCAGTAAACTCTGGTTTGTCTACAGCAGGTCATTTGATCTTAAGCTACTCACTTTTTCACACAGACTGTGATCAGGTTCATGTGTTGCTCTGCTCCAGGTGGTTTCGGGGGAGTTCAGTGAGGACAGCGAGTCCTACAGCTTCACTCTGCAGGCTGGAGATGAGCTGTCGCTGATGGGGAAGGCAGAGCTTCTGTGCGCCACACCTCCGAAGGAAAAGACGGGACTGAGCGCGCTCCTGAGACGCCTGGGAAAAACTCCACGAAGTAAGTACGGCAGGCTGTTCAGCTCAACGTTTTAGGACATCTGACAAAATTGTTTTAGTAGCATACAAGCAATGGAGGAGGAATTAAACCATAATGTCAGAATTCCAACCATTTTTATCTCAGAATTCTTACATTTGTTTCTCAGAATTCTTTTTGTTGTTGAGTCACTTTTTGGAATTATATGACTTGTAGCAATGTGCATAAATATATTCAAAAAAGGTACAAAAATATTTCTAAATATCTGTCTTCATGAAGAAGTATATATACATAAGCAGTAAAATAATAGAGGACATTTGTTGGATAATTCCAATAAATAATAGAATAAAAATACTTTATATATATAAATAATTATATATATAAATTTTTAGATTTTTTTTCATTGAGTTGTTTGAAATATAGAAAGCATATAATTATTTTACGGATTTTATGCTAGTGACATTTCAACTCAAACTAACTTGTGAAGTTTAAAAACTCAATTTGAAGAGTCAGAAACCTGATAGGTGTAGCTTTGAAAGGCTTTTCCTTTATGAGAAAGAGTAACTAAAAAAACAAACAACCTGACTGAAAAACAAAACTTGAGCTCCTGAACAAAACTTCATGAGCAAACAGTTCTGCAATTTAAGAAAAACAGTTGTCAATAAGAAATTGCAAAGAATTTGAGGATTTCATCATCTGCAGCACATATTATTATTGAAGGATTCAGAGAAACCAGAAGGATCTTTGTACACAAGGGACACGGCTAAGAATCAATTTCTAATGGTAGTGATTTTTAGGCCCTCCGGCTGCGCTGCATTAATAAAAAATGTTTAAACTCTGGCATGTGAGGAAAAAACACATCTGTAAACACAATCCAGAAAGGCCTCAGCCTCAACTTGCCTCTAGTTGGTCTACGATGGACTGAGGTGAAGCGGAAACTGTCTCATAACCTGCTGCATCTGTAATTCTTTTTGGAAATCATGAACATTGCGAGCTGCAGGCTAAACTGCCTGAGAAAGAAAACATCTCTCTTTAAAAGCTGCGCCAACAGCTCTCCAGGGCTTCCAAATTCTTAGAATGTTGTTTAAAAACGCGCTGACGCAACGCACTGGTAAACATGTACGCGTGTTACTGATATTGAATTCAATTGATTTTTTTTTTCATTCTAAATGTTTAATTTGTTTTATTTGTACTATTTTGGACGATTTGCAAATTATCGGTCTTTGGTTTTCTTGCAGCAGCTTCATCTACAGTTTGTGTCAATGTTTGCAACACTGCAGAGCTGAACCTTTTTAATTTAGATATCAAGAAACTACGCTGTCAATGTTTTAAGGCTTTAACATCCTTAAATTGCAATTTGTAGCAATTTAAAGTTCTTTAGTTTTCAAAAAACTTTAGAATCAAAGAGCTTTGCACAAATATTCACATCATTTTGTCATATAACAAACACAAACTTATGTGATAGAACAAAATGGAACAGCATTGAATTGCAAATCAGACAGAAAACAAAATACAAATTTCATAGTTTTCTAAATGAAAATCTGAAAAGTGTGGCATGAGTCCTGTGGATTCATATTTTGTTAAATCACCTTTCAGAAACAATGACAGCAAATTGGGGAGAAAATATGATAAAGTTCAAAGGGTACACATCCTTTTTAGGATTTTTTATTAGGTTTTAGAAGTTATAAAAAATATTAAAATTGAATTAAAATGTCCAAAAATGTCAAGATTTTGCCATGTAGTTTAGATTTGCTTTGCATCTTCTACATATTTTTAAATTTTTTTCTGTAATCACCATTTCCTATTTTCTTGTTTTAGTGAGGAAATTGCTATCAAAACATTTCAGTTATTGAATCCATAATCTGAGCCGTTTCAAAAACCTTCCAATTGTTTAGTCACACTGCACCGTTACCCAGCAACCCAAGCCGAGTTCCAACATGTTTGGTCAGCTGCTGGAAAAGACAAGTGTTTTGTTGTTTACTTACCATTCAGAAAACACTTCCTGCATTACTGTTTATTGTGCAGGAGGTTCGATTTCTACTTGTCAAAGTGTATGATTGTATAGTCGCACATCTGTTTGCAGCCATTTTTATGGGCGAAGAATGATTTTGTGCAAAAAAAGGTGATTTGTTTAGGCCATAAAGCCACGTTAAAGCGTTACCAGGTTTTCACCGCTCTCTGATTCTTCAGGTAAGACGCCATGTCTGGTCTGTATGAACCATCGCACCAACCAGAGTGTCAGCCTGCCCTTCGGCTGCCGCGGACGCTTCTGCACACGTTCCCCCCTGGAGCAAGGCATGCTGGGAGGGGAGCACACAGTCCGCAGCATCATCGAGAGAGTCCGCCTCCCTGTGAACGTCGCGGTGCCTTCACGCCCACCTCGGAACCCCTACGACCGCCACGGCGTGCGCGAGGGCCACCGCTACAAGCTGCTGAACATCGTCAGCAAGACGGTGGTGCTCTGCTTGGTCCTCCGGCGGCAGGAAGTGTCTCCCTCGCATTTCCTCCTGCTGCGCTGCATGCCTCGCTTTAACGTTGCAGAGGCCTCCGTCCACACGGCGGCGCTGGAGAGCCTGCTGCTGAGGCACGCCTTCGACCCGGACGCCTACTCACGGGCGGTTAGAGAGACGCGTCCGGAGCTGGAGTGCATGACGGAGGAGTGCGTGAGCCCCCGGCGGTCCCGGCTCTGCGTGTCGGGTCAGGACTCGCTGGGGCCGGCGCTCCAGCGGCTCTCCATGTGCGGCTACGTGGGCGGGCTTTCTGAAAACTCTGTAGGGGCGAGACTGGGCGAAGGACCCGGCGATGAAAGGGAGTATGTCACTCCCGATTGGACTGAGGACGAGTTGAGGACCAATGAGGAAATCCCTTATGAAGAACTCTGGACCAATCAGAACACAGAGAGTTTGGGAAAAGAACCAAACCTCATTTCCTTCCACACGTCTTCCTCATTGGATGGGTCTCTTGGTACCTTGGTGACCAGAGTGTCTACTCCACCACCTATACCTCCAAAATCTGATGCTGTGAGTGTCTTCTGGGTTTCATCCGTCCACAGCTGCATCCGGCTTTTAGAAGCTTAAATTATTCATATATAAGAGCTTCTGAAGCTTCTGAGACACAAACCATTTCCAGGAAGCGTTTCTCTAAACAGAAAACTCCATTCATACATAATATGACAATTAAAGGGAAAACAGCTGCAGGTTAAGAATTAATCAATGGAAGGAAGGAAGGAAGGAAGGAAGGAAGGAAGGAAGGAAGGAAGGAAAAAAGTTGTGAGAAACTCAAAGGAAGGCTGAAAGGAGGGAAGAAAGAAGGAGTAAAGAAATAAAGGAAGGAAAGTAAGAAAGGGAAGAGAATAGAAGATAAGAAAAAATGCAAGAAAGGAAATGGATGAAGTAGTGAAGGAAGGGATTATGGGAGAGAAGGTGAGAATTAAGCACAGAGGGAAAGGAAGGAGAAGAAACTGGACGGAAATAAAGAGAGCCAAAAAGACAGCAAAGAAAGTGAGGAAGGAAGGATAGATGTAAGGAAAGGAGAGAAGGAAATGATTAATGAGCTCTAAAGACCTCATTCAAACTAATTCTGCCATTTTTAATCACCAACAACTCAAGCAGTCGGGTAGTTTTCAGCATCTCGTTTCATAAACCAAACCAAACTTTTATTTTTTTCCAGTAGACAAAAATTAAAGTTGATTTCTTAGAAATAAAAAAATATATAATCTACATACAGTTTATCCTGTAGGTCAAAGCTGTCCCTATACATTCATGTGGAAAACTAGATTATAATTTACTAAACTTTTCTCTTTCTTTGTGTGGGTGAAGACATCTGCTTAGCAACTAAATTATAGCCTCTCCAACAGTCTTCTTCATTCCCTAATATTTAGCCTGCCAGAACAATGGGCTTGTGTGTGTGTGTGTGTGTGTGTGTGTGTGTGTGCGTACGTGTGTGTGTGCGTGTGTGTGTGTGTGTGCATGTGTGTGTGTGTGTGTGCGTACGTGTGTGTGTATGTGTGCGTGCGTGTGTGGGTGTGTGTGAATCACTTTTTTATACTCTCATGGGGACTTATGGGGACCACTGCTTTTGTGGGGACGCTTCTTGGGGGAAATGCTGTTTTTGGGTTGGGGGTTTGGTATGTGAAGATTAGAGTTTGGGGTAGGGTAAAGGTTAGGCATGTGATGATAGGGGGTGGGTCAGGGGTAGGCTGTAGAAAATGAATGGAAGCCAATGTGAAGTCCCCACAAAACACATAAACACAACTGTGTGTGTGCAGTAGAGTTTGTTTGAGGTGTAAAGGTCACCAAGTTTGACATTTACCAAGTCGAACACACACAGTGAGAAGTGTTGGGCGTTCCCTTTTTTTCCCTGATGCATGTGTGTTATACTGTGTGTGTGTGTGTGTGTAGGTGAGGGAGGAGTGCCGCTACTTGCTCGCCCCTCCGGTGCCGCCTCGCTTCTCGAAAGAAGGCTCCGTGTCCAGTCCGGCCCCCAGCCCGCCAGTTCCGCCTCGCTTCCCTAAAACCTCCACCTCCCCGAGGCCAAACCTCTCCTTCTACTCCTCCGGACTGCAGGACAGGTGCAGTAAAACCTGCATTCACCAAGTGCTGAAAATCCTTGGAAATGCTTGAATTTCTATTCAGCATTTTCAACCCTTGTGTTAAACCCTTGAAAGGTTTAACAAGGGTTAAACCTTTGTTAAACCCTTAACTTTAACCCTTTGTTTGGGTTTGCTTGATTTCCAAACGACACCGTTTTGTAATAAAATGCAAGATAAATGTGTCAGCTCTTTGGTTACTTAGCAACTCACTTGCTCTTTGGTTACCTAGCAACAACCTGTTGAATAACTGGCACAGCAGCAGTTTAAGGTTTTTCCACTGTGCCTCATAACTGCTCAAAAATAAAAAATAAACAGAACAATAATGTGAAGTGAAAACTGTGAATAAATGTGTTTGTTTCCCAGCTGCTCCCCCTCTCCGGAAGCCACCCTCTACTGCTATCCGTGTTCCTGGTCCGACTGTCCTGCTCCTAACCCGGCCAGTCCGGACCCAGCCTCCACCGCCCCTGCAGAAAACACATCCAGCTCTCAGCCTGCGCAGGCCACCTGGGCGGAGCCCTGGGTGGAGTCCTTCACATCCCCCACACCCCGACTCCGGCCGCCGCCCCCACAGAGCCGATTCGCACCGTTTGGCGCGTTGAACCCCTTCAACCGCCAGTCGCCTTGCCCCTCGCCTGAACCCGTGGCGAATGATTCCTCCAGAGGCGCTGAAGGCGGCGGCGGGACATCATCGAGCGGTGCTGATGGGTCCCCCTCTCCTCCTGACCCCACCTGGAGGCCGCCCAGTGACCTTTCTGCTCTGTCTCTGGAGGAGGTATCGGCGTGCCTGCGGTTCATCGGCCTGCCAGAGGCGGCGGTGGCCGTCTTCCAGAGGGAGAGGATTGACGGCAGCCTTTTGGTGCAGCTGACTGAAGACATTCTGTCACATGACTTCCACCTGAGCCGCCTCCATGTGACCAAAATCACACAGTTCATCCAAGGCTGGAGGCCCAAAATCTAACCCTACCCCCCCTCGGTAATGTGCCTGATGGCGACGCAGCCGTCCTGAATGTGCCTTCCACTGTGACCCACTGGCGCCTGAGCCCCACTGCTTGAAGCCTAAGGAAACCACGCCCCCCTGTGGCTAAACTGCAGAACTGACTCTTCACTCTAACTGCAGATTTTAATTTGATTTTTCTCTGAATTTCAGACTGGAAGTAGTTTACTAACATTGGCTCCAGGTGAGAATTGAACAAAAATTCCTGCTTTAGTTTTTATTTAAATTTTTGATAGAACGGCCTTTAGACAGCATGCAGAGTTCAGTAGCCATGAACCGGAAAAAAAAGACATTTTATCTGAAAGGGTGTGCATAAAACTGACATGCTGCAGTCATAAACATGAAGGAGGCGTCATAAATGTGCATGACTGGTGTCCTGAAGTGTCACACAAGTAAATAATTATATTTTTAATGAAAGTCACATAAAAAGTATCACTTTTATTGTAAAGTTGCATTAAAAGTGACACTTTCATTGTGACTTTGCATTAAAAGACAATCTTTTAATGCAGTTTTGTAGAAAACTTTGCATTAAAGGTGTCACGATTTGCAACTTTCAATAAAAATTGCTTTAAAATTGCATCTTAAAATGCAGTTTTGCATTAATAATGACTCTTTGTGTTAATGAATGTCATTATTAACCGAATGACACTTGCTGATAACCCTTCAAATACAGTGTTTCCAAAAAACATTTAAAATACAGATTCAAAAATGTTTTGAATCTGAATTCAAAACATTTTGAATTCAGATTCAAAGGACATAAATATTGTCCTTTTACTCATGTTAATTCAAAATTAGTCAGAGATTTTGTAAATGTGGGAAGGAAGAATTTCCTCTAGCAGTCTGTGTCACTGTGAATTTGATGGAGCCACTGATTGAAGATGAGCCTGTTTTTCAATGACATTTCCAATATCATGAAGAAGGCAAAATTTATTTTGAATTTTTTTGTAATTTCTAGTTATTATTATTATAATTATAGGTACTCAATGAGTTTTGGTTGATTAAACCTGAACTTATGACCAGTAGGACGAGTAAAACTGAACATATCCTGCAAACTGGTTTCCCTTGATCTTCAGTGGGGTAAAACTGGAATCAATGGAGGAGCTTTGGAGGTAAAAACAACAACAAGAACTAGTTAAACTAAATTAACAAAATAAAAACAAATACAATGTGTTGTTAACTCTATAAGTACAAAATTGGGGTTAAAGGTTCAGTCATGAGTGTCTGGGCTTTTCTGTGCTTCACTGCATTGGCACTGTGGGGAATCGCAGCAGACCATAACATTATTGATAATTTTAGATGCATTAATTTGCTTCAATGACACATTAATTTGTTTTAGTTTCCCCAAACCTGAGAAATGAATTTTTATGATATACCTCAAATTTCTTGTTCTGTTATGCTTTATTTACCCAAATAAATGTAACTACAATAAAATCTCTCTTTGTTATTATTTCACAACATTTAAAACTTAAATTAGAACAAATTAAAGTCCCAGTAAAAGTAGACAGATTTCAGATACCTGGCCTATCACCAATCTTTAAAAAGCCTAACCTGCTAACTTATCAAATAGTTTAAAGTTTAAAGACCTAAATTCAATTTTGTGAAGATATTTTACCATAATTATTGATTCAGTTCAACAAACAATTGACCTACTAATCCAGATGTATCAAAATTGTAGACATATATATATATATATATATATGTTTTTCTATACTTGATTGTCTGTGAGTGTATTGTTGCCGCATTATGTCAGTTATATTTCCCCTTAAAAATGTTTATGTTCCCAAAACTCAGTGGTCTATAGACGAATAAAAAAGCTGCTTAATGATGTTTATGAAATCGTTGTGTTACTTTGCAGACTGGAGTAAATGAGATATTGACCCTGTAACTGCACGACTGCCATCAGACGAACAATGCAGAAATAAATGACTGATGTGCAAAATAAAAGGAAGCTAAACGATTTTTCATATTTTTTACTCAACAACATGCAGTTTGTAAACGATGAAAACAGTCACTATGCTGATGATGACAAAATTAAACTATTAAATAGTAAAGCTTTTGTTGTCTTAGAGGTGAGTAATTTTTATTATTGTTGATCAATATTTGACTTATTGTGACACCAATTAATTAAAGGTATTATTAGGATTGTTACGTCTACTATCAATAAGTCCAATAATGCAATGAAATGCAGTTATTATAGTTTAGCAGTAAGAATCACAATTCTGCTTGTAAGCTGAAAAATACAAATATTGTACATGTGTTTACACTGTTTCTGAAACAGCAGAGACGTAAAAATTGTCACTGTTATCACAAATCAAGTTTTACATCAAACTAAATACAAAGAAAACTGATTTTTTGTGTGAATTATTTGTGGACAGATCAGAAAAGTCCATGTATCGTTAATATGTCGTTTTTGCATCACTTTCGATGTTGTACCCTCAAACAATTTGTTGACTAAGCATCACTGCAAAAACAGAAATTACCAAGTATTTTTGGTGTAGTGCAAATATCTTAGTAAACTTAAAATTAGAGAAAGATAATTTACAAGTAACTTTTTCAGTAAAATATAGGAGCTTGTTTTAAGTCAATAATTCCTCAATATTGATGAAAAGAAATTTGTTCCATTGGCAGATAAAGTAACTTATAACAAGACATTTTCCCCATGTAATAAATAAAATAATCTGCCAGTGGAACTAGAACTTTTTATAAATATTAAGGAATTATTGACTTAAAACAAGCTCCTATATCTTGTAAAAAGTTAGTTTAGTCCTTTTTCAAATGTGCTAAAATATTTGCATGAGAAACTAGACCAAAAATGCTTGTTAGGATTTTGTGTTTTTGCAGTAAGACATAAATTTCTATCCATTCTTTTGGACACAGGGGAGTTCCACATACTATATTGTGTATATTGTATATTATATGTCTTTGTAAGCCATTGTAAATAAAGAGAACAGATGAACCTCCAAAAACAAACAAAACAGAAAGTGTCTAGATTAGAGCGCTGGATAAAAGTTGGACTGAACTGAACAAATAATAAGTATAAAAAGAATAAAATTACTTCTCCTGATTTAACAGCTTTCAGTGCTCCAGTACAACAGGCCATTTCAAGATTATTTAACCCTGGATCATTATATTTGTTCAGTCTTGGATTTTGTGCAATCAGGAAAAGTCCAGTGCAACATTTGTGACATTAAACTATCCTTTTTCTCTGCAGGCATCACCCACAGGAACTGAAGAAATGAACTCAACAAGTCCAGAAAAACAAATAAAATAGTATCATGAGAGTTGCATACTTGTGTCACTGTTGCCCAGAAGAAGAGTGTAGAAAGGCAGCACTGTTTTTCTTAAGTGCAGCTATAAAGAAATGCCACTGATACAGTAGAACATACCCAGAGGGCGGTCCAGCTGGCACATTTCTCCCTTCTCCAATATTTTAATCTGATATCAGCGAAAATGATTGTCTTGACCTTAATATACTCAAGTGTAACCCAGTAGCCACTAGCACAAGACTGTGGAGCTTTTTGAGCCTTTATGCATCAACTAATTAATATGGATGTGTGTCTCTATACCATTTAAAGCAGTCTCTGTGTGCCACCTGCTCCAGGCAGCAGCACAACCAAGACTTCTGCGCTCCCCACGACTCATTTATGTTTATTTATTTATTTATTTGCTGCTTTTTCTGCTAACAAGTTGTTGTAAAACCAGAACTTCAGGCCAAATCTTTAGCCACACAAGCAGATTTGATTATATTGTACCTTGAAATCTGTTCCCAAGAAAGAGCCATGAGTTGTAAAGATAAAAGAGGGATGAGACATTTCCCCTCGTTCTCTGACCTTTCAGTCATATCTGCAACATCCTCATTGCTCTTTTAGGACTAAAAAAAAAGGAATAACGGTTTATTCTGTAATTCAAAATGTAGCTAAACCACCATAGGTTAACAATTTCATCATAATTCAGATTTATTCATTCGCATTTTCCATTTCAATATGAGTAATGTCTCATTTTCCTTCCATAGAGGGAGATACAGTTCAAGAAATTGTAAAACAAAGGAAAACATACCAGTATAAGAATAAATATACTGGTAAAAAGAATAAAGTACAAGAAAAAATACCCCCAAAAAATATATAAAAAAGAGAAAAACATCAAAAGATCCTTGTTGATTTAGTCAAATTACTTATTTTACTCATTAAGATTGTTTTGGTTAGAACAATCACACAACTTTCACAACAAATTATATTGAAAAAAATAATATTATTACTTATGACCATAATAGTTCATGAATCGATTTGGCCAATTAGAATTAACATTTTCAGACCACAGTTTGACATGGCGATGATTTCTTCTGTGAGGAGATTGTAATATTTTTTATATTTAAAACTGTGATCTCTAAAACTGAGAGGCAAAAGTTAACATACATTTATTATTAAACTTGCTATAGTATCCATTTGCCATGCACTTTGATATTGATTTAATTAAAATGATAAAGTGATATTGGTTTTAGTAACGGAAGGCAATAAAAAAACTGCTGATATGACAACTTGTACGCGTAAAATAATACTTTGGCCATTGGGGGTGCAAGAGCGTAATTTGTTCAAACAGCAGACTGAAGAAGGACCTTGAGTCAACTTGACAATTGCCTGAACTAAAACATTAAGTTTTCAACTGTGGTTTCAATAAAATGTCCACAAATATTTGTTAGATAGTCAATATAAGTATGTAATGTTGGTCTTTAAAGTCTGCTTTTCGTTTCATTCATTTTTTTCATTTATTTATTACCGGCATTTATTACAGACGCCACAGTTATTTTTTGGGTCCTTCACAGCGGTTGTTGTAGTCCTGTGCTGTCTGTCATTCAACAGGGAAGCCGTGGTGGCAAACAAGCAGCACACCTAAAGGTAAGATGAAAGGTCGTCCAGGCTGTTATAAAAACATTAAAACAGAAAATGAGCTTTATTTACGCAGAAAATATGTCTAAAGTCTTAACTAATTACAGGTTTTAAGCTAACAGTCAGCTAGCTTCGCTCTGACGTTAGCTTGCATAGCTTCATCTATTTTTGCCATCAACGGGTTCCCTGATGACGTCTTATTGCCATTTAAATGCCACTAAAAGTAATGAAGCGTCTCTTTGGAGTTTTTAGACAAATGTCACAGTTTGAGGCAATTATAGTCGTTTTTTTTTGTCTCTGTCATTCTGTAGGAGAGGAATGTAGGTGAAAGGTCGCTGCAGCAGGAGGTTGGCAGGGGTGACCCAGGAATATGTCAAACTGACCCACATAATAATTTATATCAAGTAAATTCAAGGAGTATTTAGAAAAATAAATAACACTTAATATTAAAGATTAGTTTGTTGGAAAGTATCTTATGATAATGTTGTACTTTTAGACTTTTTTTCAGCACTTCTATGTGTCTAAACTATTTATATGGCAGTATTAATTATCAAATATTTATTACTGCGAAGAGACAACCAAAAAGAAGAGTTTTATTTAAAAATGTAGGGCATGGTATCATCTCAAGTCCAGTGAAATTGACCTTTTGTCTTCAAAAATATCTTAATATTTCTTGAATGTGTCGATCAAAAGGCGTCTTTAGAGTCATTTGACATTTCAGGAAGATAATTATTAAGTGAAACGGATTAAACGATGAAAAAGCTTAAAATGTGGTTTAAGTGTTTTTCAGACCTGAATTATTGGGAAACATTATTATTATTTTTCCCCTTGTTTGAAGTTTCATTTGTTCTTCCAGCATTATTTCTTCCTCATTGTGAATTTTGTAGATTTTACATTTAAAGCATGATTACAATCGAGAAATATTCCATAAGGCATAATAGACTAAACTTAAAAATTCATATTTTTTACCAGAAAATTGCTACTTACTAAAATGACATTGCTTGCAGTTTTATGATTATTTTAATTAAAGGCTTCTATGTTTATGTTTTATTTTTGTTGTGAAATTTCAGGCTAAAATTAGAATTTTTCTCCAGTCCTTAGCATTATGGCCTCCAGGTTGCTGAATACGATGCGGACCGGTGCTGTCGGCCCGTCCTGGGCCGTGCGATCTGGCAAGTTCCTCTTTTATTTCTTAACAGTTTAAATTACTGAAAATAACTTCAGTAATCAGAAAAAACAGCAGCACTTCTATCCATGTTATTTCTATTTAACTGTTTCTCTTTTTCCTGCAGCTGTAATAATAATAATAATAATAATAGTAATAATTATAATTTTAAGTCAATTTCTTATTTTTCTTACAGTTGCACGCTCCCTCAGTACAACAACACAGCTCCATGCTCCAGGTAACAAATGCTGTTATGAATAATATGTATTTAATTCTACATAAAAGTATCATTTTATATTGTATAAGCCTGTGTAATTTTACTAAACAATGTAAGTTCAGTATTTTGATTACAAATTAAGGATTAAAAGGGGATTGAGTTCTTCCCCACTCTTATGCAGAGGGTATATTTATGCTAATTATCATCATGTAAATTAACTTTTTAAGCATTTAAGTTGCACTGCACTTGTAAAACAATGTATCTACTCTAACAAAACATGACAGTTTCCCATTAAGACAATGGAGATACGTATCGACGTATCTGTTCGCATTGATAACATTGTTGTCATTTTTCTCAGTTCAAACTAAAAGCAAAAAGACGCTGGCTCGACCGGGGGTGAAGAACATCGTTCTGGTTGAAGGAGTTCGAACCCCTTTCCTCTTGTCTGGAACCGTGTAAGTTTGTTTTGTTTTTAGAAACTGAGTTTATGTAGTTTGTTGAACAGCTGGATTATGTTATAAAATGTCTCCTTCATCGTTGGTGACAGGTATGCAGATTTAATGCCCCATGACCTGGCCAGAGCTTCTCTTCAGTAAGTTTGTGCTTGTGTTTTCTAATTGACTTTAAGCCAGAAACGTAACTGAGAAAAAAAACAACAACAAAAAGTTGTTCAGAATTATAGTTTGAAAAGTGAAAATAAGGACCAGATATTAGCTGTGCAGAAACTAATCATAGTTTGTGTAGAAAATAAAAAGTTATGGATAAATGTAATACTTTTAAGAAAAGTTTAACTGCATCATGATTTCAGATGAATTCATATGAACTTTTATTTTTACGTCTTACATTAATGTAAGGAGCTTTAAGCATGCATCCACATTTCATTTGGATGCATAAGGAATACTCTCAAATCCCTTAAATCCAGTTGTAGGAGCAGCATCAGGTTAATTTTCATACAAAAAAGTGTTAAAAACAATACATATAAAATTAACAATAATTAAGACTACAACAAAAAACACTGCAAATATTAAAATACAAATATTGTATTCAAAATGAGACAAAAAACTTGGTGTTAGGGAGTTAAGGCGTTGGAAATCTGCTGTAAAATCATTTTTTAAAGTGTTAACTTCTAGTCTTCCTCGTATTCCTCTTTAATTCTGTGCTTGTGTTGTTCTAGGGGTTTGCTGAACAGGACGGGAATACCTAAGGATGCTGTGGATTACCTCATATATGGGACGGTGATCCAGGAGGTTAAGACCAGCAACGTGGCCCGGGAGGTATAAACACACACACACACACACACACACACACACACACACACACACACACACACACACACACACACACACACACACACACACACACACACCTACTGAATCAGTGTGATCTGGACCGGAAGTTTTCATAATGACCTTTTCATTGTTTTCCAGGCGGCGCTGGGGGCCGGCTTCTCTGACAAGATTCCCGCTCACACCGTCACCATGGCCTGCATCTCCTCCAACCAGGCGATGACCTCAGGTGACCTCAGCTCTCTATCAAAGCTGCCTGCTTTCTAGACATCTTGGATGGATTGATGGGGAAAATCAAGTTTTGCACGTTTTTGTTCTACATTGGGTTTTCTACTGCGTCTATAAACCACCCAGCTGGTTTTTGGAGATAAGATAATGTTTTTGGTGTTTGGGAAATTACCCGTTTGAAAAACCTTCAGAATGTTACAAATCCAACTGGCACTGCACTGTTACCTAGCAACCCCAGTGAAGACAAGGCTGTCACCTAGCAACCCAAGCTGAGCTCCAGCACGTTTGGTCAGCTGGTTTTACCTCTTTAGCTGCTCTACAATGTCTGCAGGAAAAGACAAGTGCTTTGTTGATGACTTACCATTCAGAAACCATTTGCTGCATTCTTGTTTGTGCAGGAGGCTCCACTTCTGCTTTTCAAAGTTCAAAGGTTGTATAATTGCGTGTCTGTTTGCAGCCATTGTCAAATGCGAGTGTGAACGTTGAGTTGGTGGTTTGTGGCCAGCAGCAAATTATTTGGATCTAAAATAGCTCAAAACTAAAATTTCATAACCTGAGAATAATTTTGTGCCAAAAAACATAATGAACATGTTTAGTATAGACTGTAGGCCTTCTCTAATCTATTCAAGGAAGCACAGTAGTTCGCCGTTAATGTTCTCTCTCTTTGTCTCTTCAGGCGTTGGACTGATTGCAGCAGGCCAGTGTGACGCCATCGTGGCCGGTGGCGTGGAGTTCATGTCCGACGTTCCGATCCGTCACAGCCGAAAGATGAGGAAGACCATGCTGAACCTCAACAAGGCCAAAAGCGTCGGCCAGCGCCTGGGCCTGCTGGCCAGCATCAGGCTGGCACACCTGGCTCCAGAGGTCGGCATCGTTGTGTTTTTTTTTTCTTTTCTTTTGTGTGTGACATGATATAAACTTTGTTGAATGTGTGTGGTCAGCTCCCTGCTGTTGCCGAGTTCTCCACAGCGGAGACGATGGGCCACAGCGCAGACCGTCTGGCCGCGGCGTTCGGGGTCACCAGACAGGAGCAGGATGAATTCGCGCTGCGGTCGCACACGCTGGCCAAGAAGGCTCAGGACCAGGGGCTGCTGGAGGACGTGATTTCCTTTAAAGTTCCTGGTAAATCCTCATCCTGTCATTAACTAACACATTCAAACTTTAATTTCACATTTCTGTGATTATTTCTAAGTATATATTCTTTGACATATTGTTGCAACTCTCGCATTTCTGTCATTGTTTAGTGGATATCTTCAGAGTTATAGATATTCATCATGGATTTAATATAAACTAAATATTTTTTGGAGAAAATCTATGACTAAGAACATGTGTCAGGAATTTTATAAAAACAAACAGGAAATTTTTTGATTATAATCTGGAAAAATATGGACGTTTAACCCTCTGAGCCCTACGTTTCAAATCTCCGCCTGGATATTTTTACTTATTTTAATTGTATGCAGTTCTTTAAATGTCCTGTGAATAAATATATTTGCCCATTTGTCCATAACAACTGGAACTTTCAGTATATAGCCAGTTATTTTTTAAATTTACCATCTATTAAGGGAGTGTTTCATCAGATTAAACAGAAATAAAACATGCTCCCTGAAATGGCGGGAGTGAAATTACCGTAATAACTCGATATTGACTGGAAAGTGCAACGTGTCCAATTTCAGAAGCCGTTGGAATTTTTCAGATAGTGCAAAGTATCGCAGCGTTACGGTACGCGTCGTCACCGGCACATTCCGTCCACAAGGGTTAAGATTGAAAATGTGTAGGAGTCTTTTTACTTTAGCCATAAAATCTGAGATAGATTCCAGCTGAAATAAACTGATCCAACTTGTTTTTGGTTTCAGGTCGAGATATCGTCTCAAAGGACAACGGCATCCGTCCGTCTTCCATGGAGCAAATGTCCAAACTAAAACCTGCCTTCATCAAGCCGCATGGCACGGTCACTGCTGCCAACTCGTCTTTCCTGGTGAACTTTACTGGATGAACATACTAACTCTAAATTCATTTGACTGCAACATTTTCGTTAAGGAAAAACATGGTTTTTTATTTTAGTTGAAGTCATTTTGATGAACATCTTCAGCTTGAATTTTGTGGATAAACTCGTTGTTTTTGTGTTTTCTCAGACTGACGGCGCCTCTGCTGTTCTCATCATGTCTGAGGAGAAAGCTTTGTCCATGGGGTTCAAGCCCAAAGCTTACCTCAGGTATTTGGACTTTCTCAGTTTTATTTTCACCTCTGATTCGACCTCAGGTGCGCTCATCTGTGTGATGTTTTCACGTTGACAGAGACTTCGTCTACGTGTCCCAGGACCCCAAAGATCAGCTGCTTTTGGGGTAAATTTATTCCAGAAACATCCTGAGAATCTTGTTCTGTTTCAAACTGCAAGTTAAGGAAATGTTCTGTTATTTGCTTCCTCTGATCCGTTTCCTTTTCTTTTTCAGGCCGACTTACGCTACACCTAAAGTCCTGGAACGGGCCGGCCTGTCGATGTCCGACATCGATGTGTTTGAGTTTCACGAAGCATTTGCTGTAAGTTCTCACAGTCAGCCGTCTTAGAAATAAATGACTTGTTTGTGTCATGATGTTGTGTTTTTGTGTGTTTTGTAGGGTCAGATTATGGCAAATCTGAAGGCGATGGATTCTGATTGGTTTGCTCAGACATACATGGGCAGGAAAGAAAAGGTAAAGATGATTAGTCATCTATGAGCAGATCAGCTGAACTATTTTTGTCAGGAAACGTTTGAAGTTCAGGTTGATTTACATGTTTGTTATTTGTGTTTGTTTTTATTTTGCATATTTAAAATGCCTTCCATTTTCAGTGTTAAAGTTTATTTCAATGGAATTTAAAGTTTATTAATCTTTGAGAATCTGTTCTTGCGTTATTAAAACATTATTATTGTTTATCACAAAAACTTATGCTGCTAAATCTGTTATTGTGACAGTCCTAGTTATGTTGGACTACTTTCAAAAGTATTATCTTGAAATGTTTTAACATTTTGATTATGTGTCATTTTGTGCTTCTTTCTCCTGGTTTATCACATAAAATCCCATTAAATGTCATTGCTGTCTTCATCTATAATGTGATAAATTGAGGAAACATTTCCCTGGTGGTTCACCCCTGACCTTTGACCCTGTTATCTGTGCAGGTTGGGTCTCCACCATTGGATAAGTTTAACCTGTGGGGCGGCTCTCTGTCTCTGGGTCACCCATTCGGTGCCACAGGCTGCAGGCTGGTGACCACCGTGGCTCATCGGCTGAAGAAGGAGGGCGGGCAGTACGGCATGGTGGCCGCCTGCGCTGCAGGAGGACAGGTAACTTCTTCTTTTTCACCTCGAAAACCAGCAAAAATCAAAACAACACTACAAATATTTCCTCATTTGTAATGTTTCCATCTTCCAGGGTCACGCCATGGTGATTGAGGCCTATCCCCAGTAGCCCATAATCCTTAATTAGATCTTAATACTCATCATGTCTGCTGCCAACACACTTGCTAACTAACATATGATCAGCTGAGTGAACGTCCAAGCACCACTTTGCCTTGATCGGACAGGTTGAATAAGCGATGCGAATGTGTTTGAAGGCTCGTTTGTAAATTAATTTACATTTAAATTAAAGCAGAATGCTGATGAGGAATGTTTGCTCTGTTTCCTGGTGTCTTCTCAGCATTTTCTCTGGGTTTAATGTAACATAGCAAAGTTTAACCCGGCTCAGAGGAAGTAAGGTGATCCTAATGTTTATATATGCTGTACTATTTTTTTCATACAAACTGTTGGAATTAAATGGTGTGATGAAACTTGAACGATTCTGGGTTTCTTCATGTCAACCGCGGCGTTAATGATGCAAATTGGGCTGTTCGCTTTCACGTGTTTTCACATTCTGACGCAAGCTGCGTAATGATAAAATAAAGTTTTTGACATCTTTGTGTTGATATTTCTAAAAAAATAAAAACATTTTTGTTTTTTTTAAATACTTAAAAAAATTAATTAATCTAAAAACAAACAAAAATTTGACCAATACTGGAGGTTTTCAAATTTAGATAGAAATATTTTATTACAACATAAAGCAAACATTCTGTCAGAAACATTATGTCAAACATGTTTGCAAAGGTTTGTTGCTTTGCAACATAAAAATATTTTTTTATAATATAACTATAGTTCAGCATGAAATAAAAAGTGTGAAAAATAATTTTTGTTCCTATATTTTTGGTGCACAAGCTAATAAACTTTTTGGATCTCTTGAATTTCTTGAAATTTTAAATATTTTATAAAATGTACTTCCATCAAATAATTTTGTAATGAAAAAACTGAAGAGTTGTTTAATAGATTATTCTGCAAATAAATAATATCTTTAAAAATACCTGCGTTTATTACCACTTTAAGGCAAACTCAATTATAACTTACATATTTATTTGCAAATATTGATCAGCTCAAATGTCAAGATGTTCTTTATAAGTAGTTTTTAACAAATGGTGAAGTTTATAATTGCAATTTATAATTTATTGATTTGCCATTTAGATTTGAGTGAATATTTCTTAAAACAATAAAATCAAGGCAGTGTGTTTTCCACTTTAGTTTCTTGGTTATTTTAGCAGCAAAAGTTTCTTTCTGTCCCATTATTACAGCTGAATCGATATAAAACTTGTCCAAAATTGATGCTACATCAGGAAATGTCTGCACCACTGCTGCACATATAAAAGTTAAAGGAGCAAGTTTCACAGTTTCCCCAAATTAGACATGAGCTGGCAAAGTATTTTTCATATTTGTGTTCAAAATGTTTCTTTTTTCTGCTCTAGTTTTTCTTTATAAAGTCACATTCTGACTTTTTTGTGTGTTCAAAGGCAGACAGAAAGCATTGATGCACGGACAACTTCAAACACTGTTGATGGTCTATGTTTTATTCAGCAGAAACAGGAAGTATTGTGAGGAAAAGATCAATGTATAGAAAGCTTTGTGTTGAGGATGAAAACAGAATTTAGGCAGAAGGGGTGTGGAGCTCCTTAAAGAAAAAAAAAAAGTCTAAACACACTTCAAAATTTGCATTTCCCATTTTTTTCTTTTACTATTCACATGCATACTTCTCAACTTGCATTGATGTGTCAGCAGTAAACCTGGCGCTTAATTGATTGCGCAGAACGCTGCTACTCCTGATGTTAATGAGGGATGGTCGGGCTTCCTGGTGATTTTTAAAAGCGACATGAATATGGAGAACCGGCAGGGAGAGTGACTGGCAGACGACTTAAAAGTTCATCCTGCACCTGCATGGCGTCGTTCTGATATTTGACTGGGAAAAGCCCAACTTCCACAGCTGCTAAAAGGTTTGTCTAATTGACAGCGGATGGGCAAATTTATATCAACACATTGCCGCAACGTTGCTTTGGTGTGCGCCAACCCCTCAGCGCTCAGCGGGGAGCCTGCGCTCGGCACACACACCTCTCAGGTTGGGGGGCTTGTTAACATAACTTCAGTGAGACGCTTCCGTTTAAAATGTATTTAAAGGTTTAATTCTTCCAGTTTAAGAAATCCCCGACTCGAGCGAGAGGCGCTGATTAATGCAGCCGCGGCTGTCACACAGGCTGCAGGCGGAGGGGATATGAGAAAAAAAACAATGTTTTACTGCCGAGGCAAAACGGAGCTCAAATGTAAATAGCAGGGAGATCGACAGAGAGGGATTTTTTTGTGTTTATAACGCTTCAAAACCCGCCTCAGCCCTGCGAGACGCCGGAGACACGCAGACACACACCGACGCTCGCGAGCCGCCTCGCTGCCTCAGCGGGGCTTTGATCAGACGGAACCTTTTATGGGGAATGACTAGTGAATGCACCCGCTGCTGTCACTACAAATCTGGCTCACGGAGAGCGAGAGGAGGCGAGGAGGGAGGTGAGGAGGGAGGCTGCGTGTTCCGCGCGGTGATGGGAGGCAGGGAGTCGGGGAGAGAGAGTCGGAGTGCAGCGGTGACTTTCATCTCGTCCTCGCGGCTCACGCGGGGCGGCACCTGCTGAAAGCTGCACTTAACTTACTCCACCTGCTTGGGTGTGTGTGTGTGTGTGTGTGTGTGCGTGTGTGTGTGTGTTGTTGAACAAGTTGTTAAGCAGAGTCCTACTGTACCCGGGTGTCAAACTCATTTTCATTTTGGTCCATATCAAAACTCTGGATACTCTTAAAGGGCGGGAATGTAGCTATTGATAAAACTCATTAAGTTGTTAAAATATTAATAAACTGTTGTTAGCTGCAGCATTGAAGAAGTGTTTCTTAAAATTAAGTAACATTGAACATCTTTTCCAGGACTCATAATTGTTTTTGTGGGTTTTTTTAAAATATAAATATTTATAATGAATATTTAGTTACTGCAGAGGTGGTCCTAGCCTTTTTGGCGCCCTGGGCGAACTGGGGCTGAAGGAGGGCTAATGTATGATGTTAAATGTGACTTTTTTATACGGCGGACTATAAGTTGACACCAACTAAGGCAGCAGTGACTTAAAACCCATTTTGAGAGAAATTCACAGTGAAAATCAGGAAACAAATGTGTGGATCTGTTGATTTTGCGTGAATTTATTGATGTAATGTGGCATATCGAGGGCCTTACAAAAAGCTATGCAGGCCAGACAGTTGTGGCAGACTAAAAACTGCAGGTCATACACCTTAACTCAACTTTTATAATCGCATGTGAAACTGGCTGAAAATAGATGTGGAATTATATTTGAAAAGCAGAAGTGGAGCCTCTTGCACAACAAATAAGTTGTTTGTCAATAGCAAAATGCTTATATTTCCAGCAGCCATTGTACACCGGTAAAACCAGCTGACCAAATGTGCTGGAGCTCAGCTTGGGTTGCTAGGTAATGGATTGTGCCCACTGACATTCGAAAATATTTTAAATGGCTCATTTTCCAGACACTAAAAATTAGCTTTTTTTCTTTTTTCAAGTGCTTTAGCTGTTTTTAGGAGCAGTTGAAATCCAAATGGAAGCATCTATAAAGTGCAAAATGTAAATTTTGTGTAATAAGTCCCTTTCAAATCTACTAGGAGGATGAACAATTTTGCATGTAAACAAACGAAATTTTGTGTGGACAAATGTAAGTAAATAATTCCTTAATATTGATGAGAATTTTGTTTTCTGACACACACACACACACACACATCAAAATACAATTTTCTTCTTTTAAATACAACTTCCAGTAAAGAAAACAAACAAACAAAAAAATATAAATATATTTCTAATATCTTTCTGTTAAGTTTCATGGTGCTGAATACATTTGTTATTTATTCAAAGCAAATTCCTGTATTTATGTGTATTATTTTGGTTAATCAGAATAACAGCCTAATCTTTCACATTTTCAAAGTTCAGTTCATTTTACTTTAATTTTATTTAGCACATAATTGTGAAGTGGAAGGAAAGGAACGAGTGATTTTAAAATTTGTTTTTGTTTTTGATATGTTCCATGCTTTTCCATGAACTGCGTACCATTAATGTTTAACGCTTGAAATATCGATTTACGACATAATTCTTCTTTAACTTCTCTACATCTTTATCTTTGCCCTTTATGATGATGTTTTGCTCACCAATGTTCTCTGGCACATTTCTGACACCTTTACAAAACAGATGGATTAATATTGAGATGAAATTACACCCAGATGACCCATATTTACTAATGTAATTGACTTTCCTGAAATTTAATGTAGGGGCAAATTCACTGTACAGAAATACAATCAATACTTCTGCAAACTTTTACTTACTACACTGCAAAAACACAAAATCTTATCAAGTATTTTTGCTCTAGTTCCCAGTGGAAATATCAAAATCAATACTAACTCAAGTAAATTTTAGCTGATTATTTCAATTGTAGCAAAACATTTTTCTTATGTTATATGTTAAACAATCTGCCAGTGGAACAAGACCTTTTTCATCAATATTAAGGAATTATTGATCCAAAATAAAGTCATACATCATCCTGAAAAGTTTTAGGAGTTTCAAGAATACTGAAATTTTGCACTAGGAACTAGACCAAAGATACATTGTAAGATTTTGTTTTTGCAGTGAAGACAATTTGCGAAAACCAAAACAATTGCACTAAATCATAAGAACAGATATTAAATATTGTGGATTTATCATGAAAAAGTTAAAGGTGTATAAGTAGATTTTAAAGGCATTTGGTCATAGTAAACTTTATAGGTTATATTGGCATCAATGTGCAAAAGGAGAATAAATTAAACATCAATCTGTCTTTTTTTTCTTTTCCACAAAGTTTCAGATGAGTTTGGATTTCAAAACAGATTTCTGGATATAATTATGCAGATTTTGGTACCAGTAGCAGGATGTGTCCAGTTTGTTAAGTTATGTGGACGATACCCTAAAACACCCACACACACGCATACGTACACACACACACACACACACACACACACACACACACACACACACACACACACACACACACATATATATACTTTCACAATATGACAGAGTAATTGTCACCATTTTGACCTTTTATTTAATTGAGAATAGGCCTATGTTGATTTGCTTTAGGAGTAAATTTGATTATTTATTGGTAAACCTGTCTATTTTTTTCAATTAAAATGACTTTGCAAATAAAAAAGAAAAGCCGGCTTCATAAAAAAAACTAAAATAAATTATTTTAGCCTCCTGTTTTCTTCTTTTGTGCGGCGCTCGGCCCTGCAGGTGCTCATAAATCAGAAACACCTTGAGCATCGAAGCATGGATTCAAACAGGTGAACTGTGGCAGAAACCACCAATCCCGTTCCGATCGGAGCCGTGATCCGCGCACGCTTTATGGATTCTGGAGGG